CCCCCCCCCCCCCCCCCCCCATAGTTGCGCTACTGTCTCACTTATCCTTTACAAGAGCTGTAACAAAATAATCAGTTTAGAGATCAAAAGATAAGTTCTTATTTTAACCTTTGTTTTTCTTTGTAATTTTTCTTTTGATAAATGATTTTCTTTTCTACTTTCTGGAAAGCTGGCATGTTTTAGCGACTTTTCAAATTCGTGCAGCCCTATTTTATTATAAATTATTCTTAATTATTTTTGTGAAATTCTTTTTTAGAAAACTTTTTAGTTTACTTTCTCGTGTGTTCTAGTTAAAGTGACTAGGGGGTGTCACCTCACTACTGGAACTGAATTAACCATGACGGAATCATGCCGGAACATGAAACAACAACTTTTTCCCGATTTGTTTTGTATGCTTGATGTATCAAGGGTTTTCAAATAATTTATTTACGCTCTTCAATTTATGTAAAATAGTTTTCTTAAAATGTTAATTATTTCTTTTATTTGATTAAAACATCAAACATTTATTCCAATATTTAAGAAATTCCAAGAAACTGCTAGGTTTTCCTTGTCCGGGTTTTCCTTGTTTAGGGTTCCCTTGTTTAGTTTTTTTGTCTAGGTTATCCTTGTCTAGGTTCTCCTTGCCTAGGTTCTCCTTGTCTAGGTTCTCCTTGTCTAGGTTCTCCTTGTCTAGGTTCTCCTTGTCTAGGTTCTCCTTGTCAATGTGCTCTCTGTCTAGGTTCTCCATGTTTAGGTTCTTCTTGTCTATGTTCTCTTTGTCTAGGTTCTTCTTGTCAAGGTTCTCTTTGTCTAGGTTCTCTTTGCCTAGGTTCTCCTTGTCTAGGTTCTCCTTTTTCAGGTTCTCTTTGTCTAGGTTCTCTTTGTCTAGGCTCTCCTTGTCCAGGGTCTGCTTGTCCAGGGTCTGCTTGTCCAGGGTCTGCTTGTCCAGGGTCTGCTTGTCCATGGGGTCTGCTTGTCTAGGGTTCACTTATCTGGAATTAATTATCTAGGTTTTCTCAATAGTCTTTCTTGTCTTGGGTGTCCTTATCTCAGTTCTCCTTGCACAGGACTATTATTTCAAGAACTCCAGAAATTCTCACCTTATACATTTAACTGCGTTTTCCTGGTTTCCCAGATTCAGGCTTCCCCGAGGCGGGTTTACCCACTGTGAGCTTCCCAGATGCGGGTTTAATTGGAGAAGGTTTGCCTGAAGCTGGTTTAGCTGGAGAGGCTTGTTTTGCAGCAGGTTTCTCTGGAACATGGGCGATCTTCTCCTGATCTGGTTTCTCTAAACCAGGTTTCTCCTGAATAGGTTTCCCTGGAACAGGTTTATCTTGGCAAGATTTCTCCAGAGCAGGGGTTTCCTCAACCTGATTTACTTTTTCCTGGAGTTGCTTCTCCTTGATAGATTTCTCTAAATCAGGTTTCCCCGAGCCAGGGTTGTCCTGAACCGAAGCCAGTTTTTCCTGACCAGATTCATCTTGAGATGATTTTTCTAAACCAGGTTTCCCTGATCCTGCCTTCTCCTGAACTGGGTTTACCTGAGGGAGTTTCTCCTTTACTGGAATCTCATCCGCAAGTTTATCTTTAGCAGGGAGCTCCTGAGCAAGCTTTACTTCCACAGGTTTCAGAGATGGAGATTTCTCTTCAGTTGGTTTCGCAGAAGGAGGTTTCTCTTGAAATGGTTTCGCAGAAGGAGGTTTCTCTTGAGGAGGTTTCGCTGAAGGAGGTTTCTCTTGAGTAGGTTTTGCCGAAGGAGGTTTCTCTTGAGTTGGTTTCGCAGAAGAAGGTTTCTCTTGAGTAGGTTTCGCAGAAGGAGGTTTCTCTTGAGTTGGTTTCGCAGAAGGAGGTTTCTCTTGAGTAGGTTTCGCAGAAGGAGGTTTCTCTTGAGTTGGTTTCGCAGAAGGAGGTTTCTCTTGAGTTGGTTTCGCAGAAGGGGGTTTTTCCTGAGAAGGTTTTGCAGAGGGGGGTTTCTCATGGGAAGGTTTCGCCAAAGGAGATTTCTCTTCAGTTGGTTTCGCCGACGGAGGTTTCTCTTGAGTTGGATTCGCCGAAGGAGGTTTCTCTTGAGTAGGTTTCGCAGAGGGGGGCTTCTCATGAGAAGGTTTCGCAGAGGGGGGTTTTTCCTGAGATGGTTTCGCAGAGGGGGGTTTCTCATGAGAAGGTTTCGCCAAAGGAGATTTCTCTTCAGTTGGTTTCGCCGAGGGAGGTTTCTCTTGAGATGGTTTCCCCTGAAAAGGTTTTTCCTCTGGGATTTTCCCAGGGAGAGCTTTTTCAGGGAGAGGCTTCATCTTCCTTTTTTCTTGATGAAGTTTTCCTGCTTTTCGAGGAGATTGTTTTCTGTTATTTGGTTATCTTGGTTTAAGAGAAAGTCTAGAACTGGCTGGGTTTAGCTTGGCAGCTAGGAAACCCTGGATATAGTTTAAAAGGTTAAAATGATGGAAAGCTAGCTACCAACTTATATGTAATTTCTCCAGGGTTACATGACTTATACAACGTATAACGTTTTGTATTTTGATTTAAAACTTATGCACTTGAATTTACAGGGTGTAACAAAAATATTGCTTGGGTTGATAACACAAGTCAAGCTTTCTCTTTTTTCTTAATGAAGTATGTATTGTATATAGAGAGAAAGTAGACTAGAATGGAACTAAAAAGTACTTTTTAGTGTAGCGGGATTGAAACAGGATTGAAGTGGTATTGAAGCGCGATTGAAGCGGGATTGAAGCGGGATTGAAGCAGGGGAGGAGTATTAAAATATAGGACACAGGTTAAAGTATAGAACGATTAAACAATGAAGTAGGTTGAAGTATAGAGAGATTGAAATAGGAAGTAGGTTAAAGTATATATAGTTTGAACTAGGAAGTTGGTTGATATATAAATAGATTGAACTAGGAAGTAGGTTGAAGTATGGAGAGATTGAACTAGGAAGTAGGTTAAATTATAGAACAATTAAACAATGAAGTAGATTGAAGTATAGAGAGATTGAACTTGGAAGTAGGTTAAAGTATAGAGAGGTTGAACTAGGAAGTAGGTTAAAGCATAGAGAGATTGAATTAGGAAGTATGTTGAAGTATAGAGAGATTGAATTAGGAAGTAGGCTAAAGTATAGAGAGATTGAACTAGAAAGTTGGTTGATATATAAATAGATTGAACTAGAAAGTAGGTTGAAGTATGGAGAGATTGAACTAGGAAGTATGTTAAAGTATAGAGAGATTGCAATAAGAAGTGCGTTAAAATAAAGAGAGATTGAATTAGGAAGTAGGTATAAGTATAGAGAGATTGAATTAGGAAGTAGGTTAAAGTATAGAGAGCTGTACTAGGAAGTAGGTTGATATATAAATAGATTGAACTAGGAAGTAGGTTGAAGTATGGAGAGATTAAACTAGGAAGTATGTTAAAGTATAGAGAGATTGCAATAGGAAGTGCGTTAAAATAAAGAGAGATTGAATTAGGAAGTAGGTATAAGTATAGAGAGATTGAATTAGGAAGTAGGTTAAAGTATAGAGAGCTTGTACTAGGAAGTAGATTGATATATAATTAGATTGAACTAGGAAGTAGGTTGAAGTATGGAGAGATTAAACTAGGAAGTAGGTTGAAGTATAGAACGATTAAACAATGAAGTAGGTTAACGTATAGAGAGATTGAACTAGGAAGTAGGTTGAAGTATAGAGAGAATGAACTAGGAAGTACGTTGAACTAAAGAGAGATTGAACTAGAAAGTAGGTTGAAGAATAGAGAGATTCAATTAGGAAGTAGGTTGATATATAGAGAGATTGAACTAGAAAATAGCAGATTAAAAATACATAAGGATTTTTTTCTATTTAAAGCATAATTAATAAAAAGTATGAAATTTGGATTTTCCATTCCATAGTATAAAAGTACAAAAATAATAATAATTCAATTTCTTAAAAAACAAATTTGTTAATCTATAAACATAAGTTGACATATTAAGCTTGTAATCGATATTTAATATTGGAGTGTATTCACGAAACAAAACTTTAGAATATGGGGGGGGGGGGGCCAAAAGGAAAACTGTAAAACATGTTTTCATTTTTATTATAGTTTAAGACATTAAAGATGTTCTGCAGATTACTTGATTAATTGATTTGTATTGACTAGAATTAGAATATTTCAAAATACACCAACTTTTTTTCCCGTTTAAAATGTTCTAATAATGTCAAAATGTACGATACAGGTTTAAGTTTGTGGTTTTTATCTTAATTGTTTTAATTTTTCAATACTTAGGGGACACACATCCAGGACGCAATGTTTTATAAAGAACTAAATTAGTCTAAACCAGGACACAATCATAGAAATATAGAACTTTGGTCTAAACCAGGACACAATCATAGAAATATAGAACTTTGGTCTAAAGCAGGACACAATCATAGAAATATAAAACTTTGGTCTAAAGCAGGACACACTGATTGAAATATAGAACTTTGGTCTAAAGCAGGACACAATGATAGAAATATAGAACTTTGGTCTAAAGCAGGACACAATCATAGAAATATAGAACTTTGGTCTAAAGCAGGACACACTGATAGAAATATAAAACTTTAAGTCTAAACCAGTACACATTGATAGAAATATAGAACTCGGTCTAAACCAGGACACAATGCTAGCTAAGTTGTCTATAGGACTAGCTCAAAACCAGGAAACAAAGCTAATTAAGTTGTCTTTAGAACTTGGTAAAAACCAGGACACAAAGCAAGTTAAGTTGTCTTTAGAACTTGGTTAAAACCAGGACACAAAGCTAGTTAAGTTGTCTTTAGAACTTGGTTAAAACCAGGACACAATGCTAGTTAAGTTGTCTATAGAACTTGGTAAAAATCAGGAGACAATGCTAGTTAAGTTGTCTATAGAACTTGGTAAAAACCAGGACACAATGCTCGTTAAGTTGTCTATAGAACTTGGTCTAAACCAGGACACAATGCTAGTTTAGTTGTCTATAGAACTTGGCAAAAACCAGGACACAAAGCTAGTTAAGTTGTCTTTAGAACTTGGCTAAAACCAGGACACAATGCTATTTAATTTGTCTATAGAACTTGGTTAAAACCAGGACATAAAGCTAGTTAAGTTGTCTATAGAACTTGGCAAAAACCAGGACACAAAGCTAGTTAAGTTGTCTTTAGAACTTGGTTAAAACCAGAACACAATGCTATTTAAGTTATCTTTAGAACTTGGTAAAAACCAGGAGACAAAGCTAGTTAAAATGTATATAGAACTTGGTAAAAACCAGGAGACAAAGTTAGTTAAGTTGTCTTTAGAACTTGGTAAAAACCAGTAGACAAAGCTAGTTAAGTTGTCTATAGAACTTGGCAAAAACCAGGACACAAAGCTAGTTAAGTTGTCTTTAGAACTTGATAAAAACCAGGACACAATGCTAGTTAAGTTGTCTATAGAACTTGGTCTTAAACCAGGACACAATGCTAGTTTAGTTGTCTTTAGAACTTGGTAAAAAACCAGGACACAATGCTAGTTAAGTTGTCTTTAGAACTTGGTTAAAACCAGGACATAAAGCTAGTTAAGTTGTCTATAGAACTTGGTAAAAACCAGGACACAATGCTAGTTAAGTTGTCTTTATAACTTGGTTAAAACCAGGACATAAAGCTAGTTAAGTTGTCTATAGAACTTGGTAAAAACCAGGAAACAAAGCTAGTTAAGTTGTCTTTAGAACTTGGTCAAAACCAGAACACAATTCTATTTAAGTTATCTTTAGAACTTGGTTAAAACCAGGAGACAAAGCTAGTTAAGTTGTCTTTAGAACTTGGTCAAAACCAGAACACAATTCTATTTAAGTTATCTTTAGAACTTGGTAAAAACCAGGAGACAAAGCTAGTTAAGTTGTCTATAGAACTTGGCAAAAACCAGGACACAATGTTAGTTAAGTTGTCTTTAGAACTTGGTCTTAAACCAGGACACAATGCTAGTTTAGTTGTCTTTAGAACTTGGTAAAAACCAGGACACAATGCTAGTTTAGTTGTCTTTAGAACTTGGTCATGGGTTGGTCAAAATAGGACACAATGTTGTTTGTGGAGATAAAGATCTTTCATTGCTAAATTTTTTAAATACTTTTTTCCAATTACAAACGTTCAAGCATTTAAAAATAAACGATATCAAGGTAATTTTTTGAAAATTGGGAATTTTTTTGTCGTCAAAACTCAAAAAAGAAAAATATGCATATGTGCATATGTGCAGATGTTAAATATGTATTATTAATTATCTATCTTATTTTGGCAAATGGTGAAACAACGCTTTTCCATTTGTAAAAACCCCAAATTTATATAATTTAATTATTTGATATTATATTATTTAGTTTCGTATTAAAGATTTGTTATCAATGGTTCAAATTTTCCGTAAATTCTTTGTGGGTCTGATGGTAAAAAAGTTTCAACAATAATGTATTTTAAAAGTTGAAAAGATTGATGTAAAAAAATTATTCTTCTGGCAAAACCTATTTTGGTGTAATAATCAATTTTTTCCATCACTAGAATAAGAATTGTATTTGTTCAAAACCACAAGAATGTTCCGCAGAAAAAAAATGGAAAGGTTGCACAATGTTTTGCTACCAGTTTTGGATAGGTTCTGAACTTTTTTTGAAAACAATGTTTTTTGGGTATTTTTTAAAGCTTTTCATGACATAAATAAAAAATCAAATGTTTTAAACACTTTCGGCGTTTCTTTTGATTCAATTTTTTGCGTCAAGACAATATTTATGCGTAAAAAAATGTAAAAAATATTTTTTCTAAAAGTGTTTAAAGCCAAAAGTGTAAGTGCTGCTTTTCTGTCTATCCCTAATAAAAATAATGCCATTTGTTTTGTTTGCTACACTATGGTGGGATAAGAAAAAGTGAACCTGGAGAACTACATTGAAACAATATCAGCTTTTTATTTTTATTCATAAACAGATAGGAAAAAACTTCCAAACACCCCTAAAACAGCTTCAGATTTGTGCCTATTCTTAATTCTTAAATTCTACTTAATCCGTGTTTACAGGTATTAAACTTTGGTTAAAGATATGAAACAAAGATTTGAATGTTTTCCTTCATCTTATGGCTCATGTAGATTTGTTGGTATAATCAAACTTGGGCTCATAAGGCAGTCTTTACTTGTTCTTCTGTCCATTCCGTCAAAAGTGTTTCTTGTCAGTAAATCTTGTTTTAAAAAACAGTAATCTAATCTAAAAAATAAAATTGGTGCACACATTTTATCTTTTTTTGCTTGTATCAACATTCAGCATACTTTTTTAGTAAAATAATAAGAGACAGTCATGTCAGATATTAGGGACAGAAATGACCATAGAAAGAATATTCTCCAAAAATTAACATGACCTTTTTCTAAATACTTTGTCTCCTAAACTGAGCTTTAATTGTCAATAAAAAAGAATTTTTGAGTTTTGATTGGTTGGGAAAGAATTTCCAATTTACTAAACTTGTAAAAATCATGTTCCAAATTTTGTCTGTTATCACACTTTTTTAATTGAATATCTTTACAAAGGAAAAAATATCTTTCTCAATTTTTAAAATAAAAATTAAATTTGAATAGAAGCAAAATTTAAATATTACATTTTTTCAAGAAGTTATTCACGAAACAATGTAAGCAGAATTTCTGTCCCCGTGGTTTTAACCATTTATGAAATAGAGAAATTTCTTCATATCTGAAAAAAAAAGTTCACAGATTCTTTTACATCGTTTATTTCAGTATTGGACCCTATACATTTTAATTAAAGCATGGGAAACATTTCTCTTATATTAAATCATAATTAATTTTACAATTTTTCATTTCAACTGAAGAACAGACATCGTACAGGTTGACTAGGATTAATTACATAGAGAAGAAAATTAAACTATTTTCCCCATACGAGCAACTGAGCGTTAACCAAATTGCGGGTCAAAATTAACACCCAGTTGCCACTGGAATGCTATTGGAATGTATAGGGTTTTTTTGTATGGGAGAAATGACCCCAAAATGAGTCGAAATTGAAAATTCTAATGTCTTAAGCTCATAATAATAAAATTTATCAATAATTATGTCTATAAATATGCGGCTAGAACCAATGAGATATGTCACATTTTTACAAAAATGCAATTATCAAAAACGTCGGTTTCACCAAAATGCGCGACTACAGGAACAGCTGACACCAAATATAATAAGGGCGGCTGAACTAATATTTAAACACTAAGTCTATACAATGAATAAATGAAGAGAAGAATAATTGTTCAGGTTTAAGTATATAATCATCATTTCTCTCTATGCTCGTGGACGGAATAATATTGATTTACAATTACCTATCAAGGCTTTCAGGGCATGGGCTCGGTATTAAACCGCGAAATCGCAAAAATGCGCAAACCGCATGATGGCGATTCCACGGAAACCTAGCCAAGATATATCGCTACAATTAAGCATTATCACATATTAAGACTAAGCTAAAATATCAGAGTAAAGGAGATAAACAAATTTTTCAAAAAAATCAACATAATGTTTGGGAGAATGATCCAATTACAAAAATGAATGGCTAAAAAGCTCCTGGGTTTTGATTCAATTAAAAAATCTTTGGTTTAAATTTGGTTTGGTTTGACGGAGTCAGTTTTAGAACGGAACGGCGCATTTGCGAATCGAGTAAAAAGTCTGCCTTATTGCGTTCAGAGATTTGTAAAAGGGGATTTCCATTGAAATTTCCATGTTTTAACAGGTTTGGTTTGGTTTGGTTGCTGCACCGTTTTCTTTTGTTTCCGATCACCAACCTTTCAGCAATCATCTGAAAATATATTCTTTTTAGATCCATTTTCATATCTTTGATAAAGCAAGAACAAGCAAAATTTGTCTATTTCAATATTTTATTTTCATTTCTTACTTTTCATTAAAAATTTTGTCAAAATCTAAAAATATTGTTGATAAATATTATATTTTATTTTAAAATTTTCATTTTTATTTTATACTAAAACCATATTTGTGTTTTTAATTTTTGATTTTACAACTTTTTGAAGATTTGATAACATTGATTTCAGGTATATTTAAATAAGTCTTTCATTAATGTGTTATAATCTTATTTTACCAATTTTCTGACGTCCTTTCAGTTTTCATAATTGTATGACCAAATATTTGAAAAGCTGTGTTCTACCTGGACCAACTTCTCAGAGGAATGATCTGACCGGAAGCTGATGCTGGAGGGCTGGATGAAGAAGCGCCTGCTGCTGAAGCTGCTGAAGTTGCTCCGCCCCAATCATGCTAAGGTGGTGGGGCCATAGATCCGCACCGTGGATAAAGGCTGGACTCAGGGCTTCTAAAACATTTGGAGATAAAAGAGAACTAATTTTTCTATTATTTGAAATAAGATTAAAATCTCAAATTTCTGTTAAAAAATATCTTATAGACATCTTTAATTTTTTCAATTTTTTTAATTAATCTTTAAGTTTCAAACATAATGCAAAAGGTTGCATCAAATCTTTTAATGCAAAATTAAACTTTTATATTAAATCATTTAAAACTTATGACTTTTTGAAATGTCATTTTTTACAAAATAAAAAAGCTGAACGAAATCTGTCAGTATTTGAACATTGGTTGATAATATATTCATGAATTCAAATACAATTATTAAAAAATTGTATTCATTTTACACCAATCTGATGTCCTATGTATAATGTCAAAAATAGCTAATAGTTTTATCTTTATATAACAAATAACATACGATTGATATTCCATCGGACATAAAAACAGAATAAACCTTTTTTATCAATCATCATCAAAGTGCGACCCTGCAAATGTTTAATGTACACTACACAGTCACACCCTACCCCTTTTCCAACTGTACCATGTCATAAAATGAATATTGTCGAATTGAAAGTTGAATCACGTAGCAAAGTACTTTCAAGCGACATTTCAACTGCTGGTCAAATTTAGACAGGACATTAATTTCCGATATGGAAATAAAATAGAAATAAAGTGGAAAACTTTAAAAATGTTATTTTTTTTAATTAAGTTTGTTTTTGTCATAAATAATATTAATTAGCTTAGATTTAGATAGAAAATAACAACCTATATAATTTAAGAAGAAAGTCGTCTTCAAACTATTTATCATGCATGCCGCGTAATTATCAGGGCTGCACCGCCATTTTGAATCCATGTCACCGAGTTATGGATTACTTTATCAAATATTTAAGGAATGTTATTAAAATATTTTGTCATCATGTTTTTTTCATATAAAATTAGACAAACGCTATAAAATAGAGAAGGGTGGGGTGCAACCTAGATGCCTTTTTCTAATTTATTTACCGTATTTTTCTACATTTCCTCCATAGAGACCAGTCCAAAGGAGTTCTGCATCTTATCAATAATACATTTATTAATAGGTGTCAACGCTAGAATACAATAAAAACTTACATCTCGGGAAGATGAATCCGTTTAAAATGTAGAGTTTAATGTAAATATACTCCGTAGGCATGCAGGATAAAAAGTTTTTCATAGAAAAGAAAAAAATGCTAATTTTAATTTAAGATTCAAGAAATTTACTTAGCTTAAAAATTTAATAAAAAATTCGCGCAGCTGATTCCCAGCTTGATGTTTGCTGTTTGATTACAAAAAACCTACCTCGTCATAAGAAATAAACAAAAATGGTGAGTAACATAGTTAACACTAAACATAGATTACATCTCCAATGTGTATTTAACCCCGTAAGAAAAAAGTCTGCATTGCTGACTACAAGACAAGAATTTAAAGCTTTTCAGAAACTCAGATAAAAGCGAAGCTAATTTCTATAAAAGAAAAAGATCCAAGATAGAGACACAGTAGTCTCCTCTTTTTCTTTAATCTTTATTCAACTTTAACTTTTTAGTTCATCGTCCTAAATTTTCAACAACAAAAAAACTATCTTTCCCTGTTTTAATCGGTGAATTAACAAACTACGAAAATAATTTGTCTAGGGGACATTTTTTATATCAATTGCGGATTGGTGTTCAGTCAGATCCCAAAAGAAAAGAAACTTTTTGAAATTGAAAAGTGTACAACATTGGGTTGTAAAAATATAGGAATTGTAAAAATACAAGTTTTTGACAAAACCACCAGTTACTTTGAACCAATCGAGTTTAAATGGGACAAATTGTGAATGTATTTGTGATTATCTTTCTTATCTAATAAATGAGGATCCGTTTTTTTTGGCTATTTAAGTTCATTAAATGCACTTTGTTATATAATTTTTTAAGACTTCAATATAAATCAAAAGAAATTGAGTCTTTGTCACAAACTCAAGTTTTCTAATCTCTGTATTTTTGCAACCTTTGATATTTCAAACTTATACTATTTGATTTAGCAGAATTTATAGGTTGACAAATCTTAGTCTATAACGGCTTGGGGTTGCAAAGCTATAGAGATTAGAAAATCAGAGTTTGTGACAAAGAATCAATTCCTTAGTGATGCTTTTATAAAATGGGTTTGATACTTATATGGTATATACAGTATTCACCAAGGGTATTGATTTTTTAAATTATTATCGAACTAAGCAGTCTGCATCTACGGATGAAGCCATACACATTTTTGCTTATCTTTTCCTTCCCGTGTGGCAACATATCTTGAGAAACATTATATCATAGCATCAAAATCTTTTAAAAGCCAAAAATGGAAATAATTCCTCTGTTAGAACGACGAATAAACTAAAAAAGATGTTGCAACAAAAGCTGACGGACCATCGAATTTAAAAACACATTTCATTTCTTTTTAAATCAACTATTTGGAAAATTCATGATTAAAATATATCAACAGGAAACTGATATTGTCAATTTATTTGCTTAGTTTTTTTTTATTTCATTTAAACCTTTGAAATTGGAAACAGCTTTCTTAAAGACAAAAAGAATATTTTGATTTTAGTTTGAATTTCTTTTTTACATATTCATATTTGGAATACTCTTTAAAATAACAAAAGCCTTGTTCACTGGTATTGGTAATAATTAACAGCAATTTTATCAGATTAGTAAGTGCTATATAAAGTCGTGTACAAGTGTTGCGGCATCTCCTTTAGTTAAGCACACGAGGAAATGCCACGTGATTTATATAAACAGTGCTACTTACGTCCAGTGAGCGGGTGCACAAGTGGGGGCTGGGTGATTGTCTGCTGAGTCAAAACCGGTTTTGGTTTTGAAACTTTGGTGTTCGATTTGGCGAACTCTAGCCGTATAGTCTGAGGAAGATCAGGGTCAAACCTCACTCCTTGCTAAAATTATAAGAACAGTTTCAGTCTAAATGGCAAAAGAGGGAAATCAATGTGGAATTGTGGAGTGCTAAGTGTGATTCAAAGTTCCCCAAATGTTATGCATGCCACAACAATGAGGTCAACTAGAAAATAACCTGCCAATTCATTTAAAGTCATCTTGTTAAAAAATATTTTTATTTCATTTTTCCAACTGAACTGGAAATATTTAATTTAGCAATCATAAAGTTTAGGTTGAGTGGTGGCATGCATATTAGATTATTGGTTTATTGGTTTCATTTTTACAAGAGAAAGGACAGGTTTAAAAATGACGCCTATGTACTGGAAAATTCTTAACAATTCGTTCTATAGACGTCATTAAAAGAAGGAAAAAATACAAAAGATGATTAGATAAAACATCAGAAAGATAGAAAAGTAAACTTTCATAAATAAAATTAGATAAGATCTTCTAAAAACAAACATGGCAGACTAATTTTTCTTAGTTTGAATTATACTCGTACTTCATCAGAAGTGTTTCTGATTAAAAAGGCAGTAATTAGTGAATATGTTTTTTTTTAAAGAAAAAATGAAACATTTAAAAATTTTTAAAAGGTTTTTTTATCCCAACATCCTATTGTAGACTGCCATTTCCTATTCTTCGAAAAGTCCGGTTTAAAATTCAAAATTCGTGAAAGAAACCTTTAAACATAAATTATACTTAATTACTTTCAGAAATAAACTTATATTAGTTTAAAGATATTCTTTTTAAACAAGAATGCATCATTATTTTATGTAAATTAGTTAAAGTTTAAAATATCATTCTTGCAGACAACAGCTTTGTAAACATTTCTATTCTATTTTGTTTATTATCAAAAATGAGGAGGAGAATATTTGTGATAATTTAATTTTTAGTATTTTACCATTATATTACAGACAACAGAGTAAATCATGATTTTTTATAGCTTCCTCTTAGCTTTGATTTTTAAACAAGAAGGAAATTTCAGAGGAACAACATTTTCTTTACTTCCGTTTAAACGCCGAGATAAGATCATTCATTCATTAAAATTGTAAAATTAAACAATTCGTCGTTACTTGCAGAGCTTTGATGAAAAAATATAATAAATAATATTTTCCAATTTCTCCAAGATTAATAAATATTCCCTTTCCGTCCAATTAACCCTGCATTTTTACTTAATTATGATTTTAGTGGATAATTAATAATAATAATCAGAAAAATAATGTAATAAAGTGACAGTTCACTTTTTCCAGCCAAGTTTTTATAAAATGTCATCTTCTACCTGAAGATCCTGTTTTGCGGCCTCTGCGCCTGCGCGTGAGTGGAATGTAACGAATCCGACCGGACTGGCGGTCTTGCCGTTCTTGCTGGTCACCTTTAATAGGGAACCCTCATATCCCTAAACAGAAGAATATCTTTATCATTATCAATATCAATTATTATCATTATTATCATTATTATTATTATTATTATTATTATTATTATTATTTTAATATTATTAGTCAATATCATTGATCATTATTATTATCATTATTATTATTATCTTTATCATCATCATTGTTATTGTTACATATTATTTTAAGAACTGCCAATGTTATTATCATTAAAATGATTGTTATCGTTATCCAGAGCTGTTACTAGATTAATATTATCATTTTAAATAAAGTTATAATTTGTACTAGAAAGTGTAAAATTAGATAAATCATATAAATCAAACCATCAATCATAAACTTATGATATGACAACATACAGTTTAGCCTCGATCCATAGGAGCAGGGGGGGGGTCAGATGGACTCTTTTAAACCCCTCTAGTTTTGCGCCAGTGCGTGAGGTAATTAAACTTTGGCTCGTCGGTGCGCAATGTAGAAAATCCACGATGGCTGTCTGTTGTTTAACCTTACAAACGAGTATATATTTACGATTTAAGAGATCGTTTTGATTCCTGGATTAATTGAATAGAAATACCTCGTATGATCTGAAGAGAAGATACAGCTCCCTTGGTTTGGTATCCATGGGTAGACCACTCACAAACAGGGTTCGCACCTTAATTAGTTAATTTTTAATATAATAGTTTTGGAAGTGTTTCTCTGAAGGCTCTGAAACGGAACACTCGTCACAAACTCAAATTTTCATCTTTTTATCTTTGCAACCTGATGGTGTAAACCTTTGTCACTTTAAACTAAGACTATTTGATATAGCAGAATTCATAGTTTTAACTAGTTAAGGTCCATGAAATGCGGTTGCAAACATTTAGGGATTAGAAAATTTGAAATTGTAGCGAGTATTTAATTTCTTTACATGAGAGTATATTGAAGAATAGTATACCAGGTAAAGAATAACACCTAGTATAACAGCCAGAATAAAAATACATTAGATAAGTATAACAGGTAAAAGTATAACAGCTAGTATAACAGCTAATAGAACAGTATAATAGCTAGATAAAAGTATAACAGCTACGAGTATAAAAATTCAGTTTTAGCTTGCTAAAATATGTTAACATTTTTATAAAAAAGTATAACAGCAAACAGTATAATAGTCTAAATATGTTATGGTCTGCTAGACAGATGGAATGGTATCAAAACAGAATTGACCTTGCGATTTGCAAACATTTAAGAAACTTCTTGGCCACTCATCTTTTAAACAATACAAACAATTCTCACGCTTCTTTTCATACAGTTAGAACAAACGAACATGAAAATTATATGTTTCAAATAGTTTTATATTCTTGATTGATTTTTCTTCTACTTAATCAAATTATTAATAGTCATCCTTATGGCGATTGCTTATTAGGACTTACCGCATCATTCTTATTATTTACTGAGAAAATGTTTTTAACTTTGAAACAATCAAATCAAATTAATTAAAGTCGTGCTTTTTACATTCTGGAGGATTTTAAATTTGCTGGAAATTGAGATTTAGATAGATAGATAGATAGATAGATAGATAGATAGATAGATAGATAGATAGATAGATAGATAGATAGATAGATAGAAGATAGATAGATAGATATCTTATCTATTATCTATTTATTATCTCCTACAAAATCCCCAGGGGCACCTCTACAAATAGATATATAGAAAAATATTTTGATAAAAAAAATTGCTGTTTTCAAGTTATATAATCAAATAATTATTTTCTGTTTCTTTATCAATTATAGTGTTAACAGATACACAGATGGAGAGACAATTCTAAAGATAATTTGTTACAAAGCAAATTAGCAAAACCAGGGAATTTAGGAGGTGGGGGGTTTGGGTGGGGAGGGGTTGAAAGGGGCGTTGCTAAGACTAATTTTTGTCGATGAATTCCCCTTGTCAACGATATACTTCCAGATAATACAATTAGTTTTTTCATTACTCAATTTTTTCTTTGCTAATTAAATCATAGTTCTTAGTACATTGCTCATTTTTAGCTATTTGTTTATGTTTATTGCTTTAAGACAGAATGTATATTGCTCATTGTTAAAATTACCAATCCATGTGAAGATTTTATCAAAAAGAAATAATACAGAAATCTATTACCAACTTATCGTGCAATATTTTAATTTTTTTAAATTCAGTTTCGTTAAACAGGTGTACCATGGAGGTATTTAAGTCGAAATCTTTGTTTCGAAAAACAGCTGTTACAAAAAAGATTAAAATACAGATACTTAATTGTATACAAAAATACGTACTGGATATTTTTTGTTGTATTCCCATGAAAATCTAGTTTATAAATTTTTGATAAAAATTGTTAAACCTCTGATAAAACAAGACTATTTACGTTTCTGTCTATTTCCCCTTCAAACAATCAGGTTATGTCAGAATAGTAATTAATTGAAGCACATTTATCCTTCTATATCTATATACCTTTCTATCTATCTATCTATCTATCTATCTATCTATCTATCTATCTATCTATCTATCTATCTATCTATCTATCTATCTATCTATCTATCTATCTATAGTTTCATTGATCAGGTGAAACTATGTCCTAGGAACTAGTTAGTTTCATTGATCAGGTGAAACCATGTCCTAGGAACTAGTTAGTTTCATTGATCAGGTGAAACCATGTCCTAGGAAATAGTTAGTTTCATTGATCATCCCCCTTTCTCTATAAAATTTTAGTTTAAATATTCTTAATTATAAACAGGTATTTTATGTTCAATTTCATTAACTTACAATTTAGTGTAATTAAGTAATTATTACACACATTCATATTTTAATGGTTTAATAATGAAGATAAACAAAGTTTTGTTTATTTCAAATTAAATATTTTTCTGCTTTTTTGCCCTTTTTCCTACTTTCCAGTTCAACCAGCTCAGTGTTTCCCTTAGCCCCTCCCCCATCCCCCCTTCCCCGTAATTATGTAGATCCGTCCTCTTCCCTTTAACCACTTATAATTTGCTTCCTTTTTCTCCCCCCCCCCTCCATATTACTCCCCTAGCTCCCCCTCTACCCAAACCAGGATGGCTACGACTACGACCCCAGAAGCTGCCTGCAGGTGTATCTACTCAACCAGAAAATCATCAATTCATTAATTCATCCCTCATCCATTCATTCACCCAATCATATACATTTATTTTATCATATTCATTAAAATACGCATTTATTTCACAATAAATTAATTTCTTAATCCACATTATTCATTCTACAAATATTAATGCCCTCATTAGTCTGAATTGAATGGAATATTTTGTTGTTTTCTTGTTTACTTTTATGAAAAAATGATTCTTAATTCTTGTAAATATGATAATTATTAAGTATTGTATGTAATATTAGGTCTAAATAAAAGTAAATAATGATTATAATCTATTATATAGTTTACATAACACACAAGGTGTAATAATAGGAGACACACAAACTCAATCATTTAAGAAAAAGTCAGGGGAAAAATGCAAAAGTATAAAGTCAAATATATATAAATAGATGGCTAACTAGGTAGATAGACAGATAGATAGCTAGGAGGCCGAAAAACTAATGAAAACTTTTGATTTGTCTGATGAAAGAAGAAATCTTTTTCCTGATATTTTTGCCTTTTCCTTTGAAAAATATTGCTGGAAGAATTGCAACCAATTTTTTTCAAAAAGAAAAGAGTTGAAAAATTATTAATATAAAAAAACATATTATGAAATAATAAATAAATTGATAAATGGAATAATAAATGAAGATAATAACAATGACTAATTGTATCAATAGTATAACCCTATAAATTACCTAACAAGACACTACAGTTCCGCTCACTCCCTTCTAATCTATCAATCTATCCTTCTATATACCTAGCTATCTATATATGAATGTCTTGTTTTTTACACTGAAATAATATACAACCCAATAATAAAAGGCAATAAACTCTATAATGTATATGATATATACATCTATTCTATAAACATATATAAAAATATATTTAACCATTCTATTAATTTTTTATGATAATCTATGGCCCACGAACTAAAGTTGTATAAAACTTATTTATAATTTATTACTGATATTCTAACATAAATTTTAAAAAGTATAATTATTAAAATATGATTTAAAATATTAGCATGTCAAAAACAGACTAAAACCAGGATCAAAATTTTAATGTACCTACATAGATGGAAAGAAAGATAAATAAATACATAAATAAATAGATAGATAAATATAAAGATAGACAAAAAGAAACATTGATAAAAATCGATAAATAGGTAAATGCATAAAAATACAGAAAGTTAAATAGTAAAATAAAAACTTGTAAAAGTTGTATTCCGAGGGAAAAATAAACACTATCATGTTCAATATAAAATATTATTGATTTAACTATTTTCTAGTTTAGTCAGAGGTTGCTTTGCTTTCAGAATTTGTCTAGCATTATCCGTTTTTATAAATTGGGGTTTTATATGAATATTCAGCAATAAAGTTTTTAAGGCTTTAATTTGGTTTAAGAAAATATTTTTATGATCTGTTGGTTAGAGCAGTTAATTTAACGATCTGTCTGATTAAAGCAGATAGATTATGATCTGTTTGGTTAGAGCAGATAGGTTAATGATCTTTTTGATTAGAGCAGATAGATTATGATCTGTTTGATTAGAGCAGATAGATTAATGATCTGTTTGATTAGAGCAGATAGATTAAAGATCTGTTTGATTAGAGCAGATAGATTAATTAGGTTAGAGCAGATAGATTAATGATCTGTTTGGTTAGAGCAGATAGATTAATGATCTGTTAGGTTAGAGCAGACAAATTAATGATCTGTTTGATTAGAGCAGATAGATTAAAGATCTGTTTGTTTAGAGCAGATAGATTAATGATTACTTGTGTGTATTGTTTCATGTAAATTCAAGAAATGTCTATATGAATCTATTTAAAAATCAGAATGAAAAAAGACAATTTTCATATTTTTTTAGGTGAGGAAATTAGAATCATAAATATTAAGAAATTATGCCTAATCAGGCAATTTCGCATATTTTAGTATAATTTTGTTTAGTTGGAAATGATTATAATTTAATAGGCAATTAATTATATTTTCAATGGGGTTTAGAAAAGTAAAGCTAATTTTTGGGGAGAAAGTTATAAAACTTTTTTTCCTGCGCTAAGTAGAATTTATTGATGATATCAAATGCGTTCCATATTTCTATATTATTGTATATATTATTTTTGCATAATTATGTAATTTTTTGCTTTTATCATTCTTGAAATATAATTAGTTCCTTTGTTTTTCTCTCTCCCCCCCCCCAATATAACTTATTAATATCTTGTTATTAATATTATCCATGATAATATTAATTTGAAAGGTATGTCGGATATTGATTTTTATACCTGCACAACACACACTATATAACTGGGGAAAACTGGATACCTTACACTCACATATCCCCCCCCCCACCCAATATAATCATGACGGGGGTGGGGGGGGCATTTCGTCCCCTCCCTTAGCTAATTTCTTACACTGCCGTGTAAATGTAAAAAAATAAAGCAAATGAAAATGATATTTTAAACTCATGTTCTGTTAAAGAAAATCAAAATAAATAAAAGATGCAGTTTTTATACAATATTTTTGTTTTTTTAACTTTTCTCAATCCAAACTCTTATATTTATTTTTATGTTTAAAGAATTAAATCAATTCCTTTTGGATATCCCCTAGTCGGAACCATGAACAGAGATAAGTTAAAAGGATAAATACATGGAATATCGAGATTAAGCGTTGAAGATTAGCTATGAAAAACAAAAGATTTGGCCATAGTTTTGGTGACAATTCTCCATATTTTCTACTGTCAAAGATTTTGTTTCTTTTGCAGGAAAAAAAGAAAATTACATAGATTATATTTATTTGGAATGGATTATGAAATTCAGAATGACGTAAATGTACGTGTGTAGATATATGATGAAATATAGATTCCAACAATTAAAACCCCCTCAACAANCGGCTTAAATTCTAGGGTTACTCTAGATTATTCCGCGCCACGTTCTATACTCTAGAAATATTAGTGAAGGGAGCTCCAAAAAATCTAAATCTAAGCCCCCCTTAACCCCAACCGCACCCTTCCTCTTAGAAAAGCGGTGGCAATTGTTTCTGTGGGTTCGGGCCCCCAACCAGAGGGGAGAGGGGGGGGGATACTGTGGGATTTATTGTAAATATTAAAGGGAAATTAAAGTTTGTCACTTCATAATATGAATGCATGGGGTTTTGAAATATGCAGGTTTATTGCAACCAAATTATTATTTCATTAAATATTTCTAAAAAAATAAAAAATAAAAATATAGAATTTGTCTTTAAATCTCTGTCCCTGTATTCCCCCATCATCTATTTCCCTAAACAAATATCGTAGATAATATAAAAAAATAAAAACAGACAAAAACAAGAATTTTCTTTAACCGTGCAATGATTCATAAATCGAGGAAAGAATAAAGAGAAAAAGAAGAAAAAATTGGAAAAGAAAAATTTGAGACGGAATTTGTGAAGAAAATGGAAAAATGATTGAAATTGAAAATCCTAATTATTAAAACCATATCTTTTTTAAACATTCTGTTTTTGAAAGCGCCCCAAATTAAAAAACTTTAGCATAGATTATAAACAAAGCAGGGAAAACCTGTAGAAAGAAACAAAGGCAAGAGAAAAAGAAGGGGACGGAGCTACCATGGAAAAAGAAAATAAGAGGGAAGGGGGGGGGAGGGTAGAGAAGGGCTTAATCATGGGATTACTTTTCTTTCTACTCGATAAGCCAGCAACAAATTTTAACATGGTAAAAAGGGGTTCAGTAAAAGCTAACTAACTTGCAAAATAGATAGATATATGGATAGATAGATAGATATAAAAATAGAGATTGATTAGAGCAGATAGATTAAAGATCTGTTTGTTATAGATAGAAAAATGAATGGGAAACCAGGTAGGTAGTTATGTAGGTTTAAGGTAGGTACGTAGGAAGGTATATAGGTAGGATGGATTGAAGATGATTAGTTAGGTAGAAAGGTAATCAGGTAGGTAGGACTAAATAGATACATGTAGATAAGTAGGTGAGGAAATAGGTAGATAGCTGTAGGTAGGTAAGTAGGTACGTAGGTAACATTAAATGGATAAAATCTTAGTAAGATTTAATGGTAGAAATTATCGATTAAAAAGCGGTTAAAACTTTATATGTATATTTCAGATTCTTCTTTCTCGAGGACTCACTTCCGGGATCTATATCCGGTTTTTTGATAAACATGGAAAACCTAGATAAAATAATAAGGAATAGGAAGACTATATGTGTGAATAAATAAAACTGTTAAAATGTTCTTCTTCAAGGGGGTTTGTGAGTGGGATTTTCTCGAAATTGTAAAATTTAATGGGGGACACCCCCCCCCCTCCTTCCCTCCTCGGTTGCGCTACTGAGACAGGTATTTCTTCTCTCTCTCTCTGGAAGCTGTCTATATCTCCTCTCGTCGTAACCAGGCGTAACAGATGTTTAAAATGTTTATATTTTGTAAATATCTTTACTCACGGCTATATATTTATTTATGTAACCACTTGAAATATTATCAAGAACTTAGACAAGAAAATATCTTTTTAAATAAATGTTTAAAATACGAAAATTTGAGCGATTAGCCGATAAAGCTCTAATTCTTTAATTCTGTTTAACAACTCTACTGAATGAACTGAGTACGATGTTTAGAAGTACAAAATGGTACAAAAAAACAATATTTCAGTTTATATAATAGCTGCAGTCTTACAATGCATTCACCCCCTCCATCAATCTATGTTGTGTTTATGAGGTTGTTGTTTATAAACCAGGTGTTAAGTAGTACACCGGTATTCCTTTACACCATTCACACCATAGAGTTTGCAAGATTACAGAGAAGTCAATTATTATAGAGTTTGTTTATAATCAACTGTGGCGTAAGAGAACTGTATAGAAACTAGTTTAATTGTAAACAAAACAAGCATAAAAAGATTGCCCTGTCTAATAAAAGTCCAACATTTGTTATTGTTTGATAAAACAAGTACAACAACCTTTGATCGTTTACTTGAAAACCATAAGGAACTGAGTTATACAATGAATAATTAAAAACTAAGGATCTATCTGTAGATGTATATGTGTTGTATATATACTACCAGTAGGGTGTTAATATACATTATAAACTATGTATTGTATAATTTCTCTGTCCTGTATTTAGTAGATTTGATTTCAGGCATTGTTCCCAGCCTGTAGGTAGACAAATTATACCGGGGGGAGGGGGGGGGGGCTCAAATCCAATTTTTTATTTATTATTGTATATATGATTATACAAACTGAATTTTTAGAATTAGAAGACCCAGTTTGGAAACTTTAAATTGATAAAAGTATCCGGGCTATTATCGGGTTAATTTACAGGGAAATTAAACGGTTGTATTATTATAGGCAATGCCTCAAATATTTGGAGGGAGGTAATACAGGGGGAGGTGGGGGGTAGAGGTCGAATTTCAAAATATTATTAGGGGAAAACAATATCAACCAATTTAAGCATACAGTTAAGAGTCTATTTAACTTAAGATAGATTCAAGTTTTTGCAATGCATTTTATTTTATAAGACTTTTGGAATTCTTTGGGTTTAAAAATGGACTTGCTTGAAAAAACCAGGGATTATGACAGTGTAATAATAAACAATAAACATTACAATTTCTATTTGTTTTACTTTTTCGGAAAAAGAAAGACAAAACAGCTACACAATCTTCTGTGGACACAGAAATCAATTTTAGCTTTATGGACATTTTTATCGGCTGGAAGTTGGGAAAGGAATGTTTGAACAGAAATCTGTCTAAGATGAAAATGTGTATATGCAAATTAGTCCAAAATGAAAATGTTTAATAGGACATGCATTAGTCTAAAATTAAAATGTTTTATCGGAAATCCGTAAAAAGGAAAATGTTTAGACAGAAATCAGTCTAAAATGAAAATGTTTAAACAGAAATCAGTCTAAAATAAAAATGTTTAAACAGAAATCAGTCTGAAAGAAAACTTTGAATCGGAAATCAGTCCAAAAAGAAACTTTTTGACGGAAATCAGTCTAAAATGAAAATGGTTTGACGGAAATCAGTCTAAAATGAAAATGTGTAAACGGAAATCAGTCTAAAATAAAAATGTTTAATCGAAAATCAGTCCAAGATGAAGAATATTAATCCCTGGTTGTTTCCACTGGTTAGTTCAGGTAGGATGGTGTCCCGTCACCGGAAACGGATTTCAAGCCACCACCCCCCCTTAGAGCTTGATACCCCCCTTAGTGCTTGATCCCCCCCTCTACTACCTTCCTTTCCAAGCAAATTATCACAATATGATGGTCCAAAACTACTATACAGGCAGTTAAAAAATAAGTTTTTCTTCAATTCTTCTAGTAAGAATATATAATGTAAAGAGAATCCCTAGAAACTGAGTAGATCGAAAATATGTCCAGTCTGTACCAGTAAACGCTTAACATGTGATCTTATGTTTTAATCTCAAACCATGAAAGAACGCTAATCCATAATCTTTGTAAAATCAAAATTTTATACAAACTATATAAGTTTTGACTGTGTACAAAGTGTACAACTTAAATAGATTTTATACTGTAAAGTGTTTACACTTTACCTGTACACCATCTAGAAAATGTAAAGGTATAGGGTGTACACTGTACAGTTTAGTTCAAATTATTACTATGTATATTTTAATTTTAAGGTTAATTTGTATAATAAATGTATAAATCTGTATAATTATGAAACATGTGTTTTTTAATTGTATCTTTTAACTATTAGCAAACCTTTTACAAATATCAAAAACCTCCCTGTGCTGTAAAAGATTGTAAGTAGCGAGCTGGGGGGGGGGGGGGGGGGGGCTTAATTAAAAAAATAAAGGGGATCCCCTCCACACAGCTAAAAAGTAGTTTTGAATGCTTTTAGCTTGTATATATTGTTTATTGACAACAACCTTACAGAAGAAAAACAAGTGGGAAAAATATTATTCAGGATTTTTTCAGAGAAACTGATTTTAGAGGGTTTTGTAAAGAGTATTCTGAAGAGGTTTAAGGTAGGGTTGAAGTGATGATGTTTAGAAAATGCAAAAAAAAAGTTTTAAAATGTGTTTATCATGTATTAAATGTGAAAATCGATTTTGGTTTATTTAAAGGTTTATATCAGAGTTGTTAAAAGGTTTACGCTAAGGTTTATAGAAGTCAAAAAAGGTTAACAAAGAGGTTTTTATATAGGTTTATATTAATGTTTCTTAGAGGCTTCATAGAGGTCAAAAGATATTTACATAAAAACATTAAACAGATTTTTTAAAGGTTTTGAGATATATTGATATATTGCTTTGTATATATATATACGTAGAGGTATTAAAGAGGTTTATATAGAGGTCGAAGGCTGGGTCTGCAAAATTTATATGGAGGCTATTCATGGGAGTTCTGGAGGGTAGGAGGGGGGGGGGGGTCTTACCTCCTCCTCAGCCACGGATAGAGAGGTATTAACAGAATCCATCGACTGGGATAATGAAGTGTCCATTTTGTCGGCGGAGTGTTTTGTTAGTGTCTGTATACTGTACGGGTGGGGGGCGGGGCATATATTTCACGCCTACAGGTGCTGATTGTGTGTGTGAGGGGTGTGTGTGTGTGTCTGGTTGGCACGGGAGCTTGTAATCAACTGGTCGGATCCCATGGCGCGGCCAGGTACCATGGCAGCTTGGGCCCAGTGCGCAGGCCCCTCCTCCCCCCCCCTCCCCGTCCTCCGTTCCGGAGTCACTCAGGTATATACAGGTGCAATTACAGGGCCCTAGACCATCTTTAATCATCATAGTGGGCTCTAGATCATCCTTGAGTCATCGTCTAAAATTCTGGACTTTCTGTTCATTGAGCGTATGCAGAAATTTGTCTGCAGGTGGGCCTAACCTTTTTCACAATGTTCCAATAACAGTTTTCAATTCTCCGGGGGAGGGAGGGGGCATAGTTCCCAAAGCCCCACCCTGTATACGCCTCTGTATTTCTTAATAGTCATGATTGGGGGTTTGGGTACTTTTATTTGACCTTAATTAATTTAAGTCCTTAACTGTTCTATTTATCTATTTATATATAACGTGCCAGTATATAACGTGCCAGTATATAACATTCCAGGCACATATGGTAAAATGTTATGAAAAACGACGAAAAGTTCTGCAGGCATTGTATTTGTTGTTCGTTTTAAAATTTAAGGTTTATATTTTAACCCCTTGAACAAAGTGAAGAATAAATGCAGGCTTATTTGCATTTTCTCAAATAATTTATTTGAGAAAATGGTAGATTTTATATACAGACACATATTTATCTCAATGTCTAACGCTAAACGTTTCAATATGCAATAAATAGGTAACGTGGGTAATAAATGCATTTTCCCAAGAAAATGAAAAAACGACAAGATTTTATGTTTCATAAAACACTATTTATAACGTGTTTTTCATGGGATATAATGACATTCCAACATTTTAAAAAAGAAGCATACTTTTCTTTAAGAAAAAGCTAAAAATTACAAAAACGATTATAAGCCTGCTTTTATTCTTCACTTTGGTTGAGGGGTTAAAAATCTTTTCTTCTTAATAAAAAATACAATTAAAATAATCATAAAGACAATAATAACAATCAGAAAATGTCATATACATAAAATAATCAAGCCAAAGGATATTTCTTATGACAAAACACATATATAAAGTTATTAGCTAGCTACCCACAATGGATAAGACTTCAGAGATGACCGTACGGAATTTTAAGTCTTTTTTCTTGGTTTCCTGCAACTTTAAACAAGTGTATTCCTTTAATAAATCATTAAACTTATCATTTAGAGAACAGAAGATAAATCCAGCCTTCAGATTGTTATATTTAAATAGTTTTGGGTCGTTTTGGGTAACCCTGTATGTTTAATTACATAAAACATATATGTTTACATAAATACTGCAATGATATAAAAGACAAGTAATTGGAGTCCATCGATCGGAAAGGTTTCGTCGATTTTAATAATGCAAAATATTAAAATAAAATCATAGTGGCCAATGGAAGCTTTAGTATTAAAAAGGACTTTTTTGAAGCACCCTGCAACCTGCAAATTGCACAATGAAAATTGTACAATACACTAAAAGTGTCTGATCTCTAAAAAAAACTTTTAAAATCATAAATCTTTTACATGCATATTTTGATATAATTTAGCATACTGGAACACAACAAACAAAAAACAAAAAGTCTAAAAAACAAAGTTTTGAGACATAATTTTAGTTTATCTAAATTTTGACCTCCGGAGGTCATTCCTATTTAAATGACAACAACTGCTAAACAAAGAAGGATCCTTGCTGATTTGATGTTTGAGATGACATACTTTGTCTTTTAAGATATTAATGTCTTAACAGAGAAAAGGTCAAACTTGAGGTCAGAGATATGATCAAGGTAAAATATTTCTGTCAGGGTTCAAAAAGTATTGTGTCAATTTCCTCCATTTTTTTATTTTTTGGAGGTTAAAATGGATGTCAATGATCTCCGATTCTACATTTTCTTCGTAATGATTAAAATTTGAGAATGCATGCATGGAAAATGTCAGTCTTTTTTATAAAACTTTAGAACCAAACAAAGCCTCACAAATTTGGTGTCATAAAGTCTTGAATTTCCCCCTTTATTTGTTTCTGCACAGTAGAATTAGAAGAATTTTAGAATTTTATTAAAACTGTGTTGTTCTTAAAACTTTAAACAGTGAGAAACAGAAAATTCTAGAAAAGGAATACGACATTAAATAGTCCAAGGAACATGAGAAACAGAAATTGTGCAGTGTAAACAGACTCATAAATTATAAGTGATTTTAAAAGTAGCTAGTAAACTAATTGCTTGTAACAAGATCAAATACAATTAATATTATTGCTTTTCACTGAAGGTAAACCGTTGATGATCGATGCATGGTAGAGACAGTTTAAGATTGCAGATGGTAGATTGATCAATAATTTTCACATTTTCAAAAATTAGGCATAAGCGACTAGGGGCACAACTAGCACTTTNGAAGGCTAGCCTGTCCCCGAGTAGAAAATTTTTTCAAAATAAAATTGCTTTTTAAGGGGTTGAAGTCGAAGAAACGGAATTTTTCAGTTGTTGCATGCAGATTTGGCTCAGTAATCAATGCAAATTGATTTTTAAAAAAATTTTATGGCTTGTTTTTAAAAAACTTATGCATCCAACAGCTGTAAAATAAACAATATTAGTCAATATGTTGAATGTGAGGGCGAAGCGCAAAATAAAATTTCTGTTCTTTTATATGCGAACTTTTTTTTTTTTTTTAATTGTAAAATGTAAATTTGCTTCATAGACTTAACTACGCAGTTTAAAGAATAACTATAGATGTTTAATTGGACAGTAAGACATCTTTGTACACAAAAATAAGTTCGGAAACCTCAGTTCGGTTTCTCAACCTAGTTTATTCTCAGCATCCATTTTGTTAGACGGACATGTAAAACATTTTTTGTTTAAGAGTAAAAGAAGCTTTTGATTTGGTAAAATGTAAAATTTAATGTTGAACTAAAGAACTATACTCTACACATGTCGAATCTTTGAAATATAAAAAAAACATAATATTGAGTTTCAAATATATTCTGATATATTGAATCTGGTTTTAAACAAAGAAAAGAGTTTAAAATATATTCTGATATATATTGAATCTGGTTTTAAACAAAGAAAAGAGTTTTAAATGTATTCTGATATATTGAATCTGGTTTTAAACAAAGAAAAGAGTTTAAAATATATTCTGATATATATTGAATCTGGTTTTAAACAAAGAAAAGAGTTTAAAATATATTTTGATATATTGAATCTTGTTTTAAACAAAATAAATAATTTAAAATATATTCTGATATATTGAATCTGGTTTTAAACAAAGAAAAGAGTTTAAAATATATTCTGATATAAATTGAATCTGGTGTTAAACAAAAAAAAAGAGTTTAAAATATATTCTGATATATTGAATCTGGTTTTAAACAAAGAAAAGAGTTTTAAATATATTCTGATTTATTGAATCTGGTTTTAAACAAAGAAAAGAGTTTTAAATATATTCTGATATATTGAATCTAGATTTTAACAAAGAATAGAGTTTAGAAAATATTCTGTTCTATTGAATATAGATTCTGTGACATTATAAAGTTATAAATATATAACTATTAGGGGAGGAGGAGGGTATAATAGCACGAAATATCAAACCTGCTAAAAATCAATATTTGAAGAATATACCGTGGCTGCTTTACGTCGAGTCCGATTAAATATTCATCAGATTCAAGCATTGATTTTCTACAATACGTTTAAAAATAAAATATCTGAAAAATAATTGATCTTAACCTACGATCGGGATAGCGCTAAATATTCAAAAGGGGAAGTTTTGGATAAAACGTTTTAGACTAATTCTGAATTCGGATAAGTGAAACTTTAAAACTCTCAGAAACCAAATCAGAGTTTGACCTAAATCACTTTGTATAAAACTCTTATTTGGTTTATGAGAGTTTTAAAGTTTTACTTATCCGAATTCAGAATTAGTCTAAAACGTTTTATTCAAAAGGGGAAGTTTTGCATAAAACGTTTTAGACTAATTCTGAATTCTGATAAGTAAAACTTTAAAACTCTCAGAAACCAAATCAGAGTTTTATACAAAGTGATTTAGGTCAAACTCTGATTTCCAAACTCTTATATCTTTTCAACCAAATTTTGTCGATTTTTGATAATTCGAACTATGAATATTCTGCTATAGATCAAATATGAAAGGTTTACACCATCAGACAGCAAAGATATAGGGATTAGAAATTTAATTTTGTGGCGAGCAATCAGTTCCATTGACCATCAGCAGCACCCTCGGGTGTTCAAAAAAATTAGACTTGTATTTCTAAAGGACAGACAAACTTAATAAAGTAGCTGAGATAGAAAAAAAAACATTAACACGCTACTTAGATAAAGGTTTAGTTTAATTGCCTTTTTTAATAGCTGGTGACGGATTATGATTAGAAAGATGAGACTTCAGTATTTTTTCCTACATTCATTGTTTCTTGCAGCTGTATAATCTTTATTAGCCAAATAGTTTAATTTTCAATTAAAAGACTTTTTTCAACCTTCAACCTTCCGATCTTTATATTCATAGGCTCCTCTCTGGGAAACCCCGTACTTCCATTGCCATTGCATAATGTAAGACTAAAGTGCTTTAATACACATGTACGGTTAATCGATGAAATTTAAACCGGAAACCTAAATTTGTGTCCCAATTAACATGGAAATTGAGTGACTATTTTTATTTCGTCTTTGAAAATATTTTATTATCTAGGTATTGACAAGGTTATACTGCAAGGAAAGTTAATTGCAGTTGCGTATACTCTGCGTAATTATTGAAACCAATTCTCTCTGGGCGTAATTTGTAAACAAGAATAGATGCATCAGTGCAAGGTTATAATGCAAGGAAAGTTAATTGCAGTTGCGTATACTCTGCGTACATATTGAAACCAGTTCTCTCTCGGCGGAATTTGTAAACAATAATAGATGCATCAGTGTTCGTTTAGTATCTGTCGAGGTTAAAAGCATTAAATTTTGATAATTTTTATAATTCACATATTAGTTTCCCATGACCAGAATATTTCATTTTTTTATTAGAAAGTTGGATCCCATTCCCATGTCAGGCTTAGACATCCGTCTTGTGTTTACATGTCCGCCCAGAGACAGTGCACTGCAGTACAAAAGATTCGTACACCTCTGAAATAACTTTCCTTGCATTATAACCTTGGGTAGTGATGTTTACTAGTAAAGCGGTGATTCGTAGATATTTCGTCTGCTAGAATTCAGAATTTATTCGTTTATGATTTGATTGAAAACGCCTTATACAGTAAACTGAGAAATCCCCGTGTAAAAACACAGTACAGTACAGTTGTTCCTTTTCACTGTTTTATGTTTATCTTGCAGAAATACAAAACACCAAACAACGTTTTAAAGTATAAAAAAAAATAATCTTTAATCGTGTACATAAAATAAATTATGTGTAACTTTATTCAAACCATTGAAATCAGGTAGCTATATAACTCTTTACAAACACGATTTAGAATTCGTCTCTTGCTTCCCATGTTTATTTACATATACTCTGAAACAAGGAGCTCCGACTTTTATTGTATTAAAAGCAAGTTCGAACCAACACAAAAACACATTATCAAGCTGGCCTTATATTATAAGCCGTGTAATATTCTGATTGATTTGAAAAATTCGTTTTGTTCTCGTTTTGAAAACTCTTATTTTTACATGCGTTGAGTATTGTTTACTTTATTTGCGGCTCAAAACAGCTTTTTCGGCTAGGGTGGGGGGGGGGGGATTAGAATGGTCAAAATCGGAATAGATGAGGAAAGAGGCACATGATAGAAGCAGTGGCGCAACTTTCGCCCCCCACCCCACACTTGACTTCAGCATGATCATGATTGTGGACCATCTTTTATCAAATTTTGTCATATGAAGAAAAAAATACTATAATTTTTCTTTGGCGCTTCGCGCATCATTTCTAATTGAATGTCTAACTATTTTTTCGTTTTTGACTTAAAGGAAGTCAGTCATTCTTAATTTATCCTCTCTAAACAGTATGTATATATGTTACTTCTCATGAGTATTACAAAACATATACCATTTAAGGTTACACAAAACCTGACAATCTAAGAAGAATAACAAGAAATATAACAGGGTTTATTTCAGACTATTAGGACTTTTGCAGACTATAAGAGGAAAACAGGATTAGCCCCTTAGTGGCAAACAAGGCAATATACATAGTCACACTGGCAATAATCTAGCCAAACAAGCAATAAATCACGAAACATGACAGTAGGTGAATAGTTTAAGATGTCTTCTTCATAATTTGTTAAGTGGTTTGATACCAAACAGAACAAACAAATATAATATGACAGTCATATTATATTAAAATTGATTTCAAGTAAAATATATTTGAGTAGAAGATTTTTTAAAATAAAATAAACTGCAACAAGTCTTTGATATCTAATACAGAATATGGAAGAAGACATTCAAAACTATTTACAATTTGTCATGTTTCGTGGGACACCCTTTAGCTTCACAGGCAATAATCTATTCACACAGGCAATAATATAGCCACCCGGCAATAAATCAGCCACACAGGCCATAATCTAGCCACAAAGGCAATAATCTTCGATCAGATAGAAAATTATGGATTATGAAAGAAGAAATATAGTCAAGTACTGCCAGGAACTACTTACTACTTAGTGGACAAATATGACTAGTGGATGAATTACAAATAAATGACTGTTGACTGTAATATGGGACTTTTATACATAGTGAATATGACTATGCCAGGGACTAACAGACACTAAGAAATGCATGCTGCGCGCCATGTTTAATTTATAATGTCGTTCATTTTAAAGGTCTTGGAAGTAAATTTTTTTAAACACAAGAACAAGCCATGGATATTATACGAGTTTGGTATATTATTGAACACAGACCCAATTAAAAAATGCTGTTTTTTACTTCAAATCCTGAAATTGCATCGTTTTTTTGAAAATTTGTTCGAAGGTCTCAAATTTTGAGAACGGAGTGTAAAAGTTTCTTTTCGGCTCACTTCCTAGTTTTCTGGTGCAAAGGCCACATAAAAATGGCATCAAAACTTTAAACCAATACCTTAATTTGGAGGTTATTATACTGGTTCAGAATTTTTAATTTTAAAATATTTGAAATCTGTGAAATGAAATCATCAAGGGAATGACTGAAAAGTGAAAACTAGAAGAACATTTTAAAAACAAACGTAAGTATGTCCTAATAAAAATGGAAGTTCAGAGACGACTTGAAAATCGTCTTTGATTTTTAATTGTTAATAAATGACAAGAGTGTATCAAAAGAATATGTAAGTCTTATGAGCTTCTCAAAACGTAGTTAAATATTAAATCTTAGACATTACAAACTGTGTTTACGAAATAATGCCAAATAATTCCCATGTTTATTTATTCATAGCGTATTGGGATAAGGACCGGACTGTAAAATCAGCGTGACATGTGATGTGCCCTCAGATTAATAATTTTTCTAGATTTCTACTTTTTCCGGTTCAGATTGATGAATTTTAAAAATCACAAATAATTAAGTAGATTTGTTAATCAGAGCGTAGAAGTTTAGGATCATTAAAATATAATAACAAACATTCATTTTGTTGAATTGGACAACAGGGCGGAACATAATAATAAACTAATCTTTTTAAGAGACTGTTCATTTATTCAAACACTGGTACCAGCGCCAAAATTGAAGTTTACTTAAATAAACAATAGAGTGATGTACTGGTTTGGGGACAACCATACACGTCTGTTATCAATCAATCATTAGTTTAAACTCTGCTTTTACCTGCGAATACATAGTTTTACGGTCTTTTCCTCACTGATTAGAAAATGTGGGTTCTCGATAAAAAAGATCAATTTTTCACTTGACGCGAAAAAAAATTCCCATAAAGAGCAGAAAGAGATCATTATAAAGTATGGTTTAATCATAAACATATTTAACTGGGTATATTCCTAAAAACGATTTTTGGACTCCCCCCCCCCCCC